GTAATCCCAGCACTTTGGGAGGCCAAGGCGGGCATATCACGAGGTCAAGAGATCGAGAGACCATCCTGGCCAATATGGTGAAACCCCGTCTCGACTAAAAATACAAAAATTAGCTGGGCATGGTGGCACGCGCCTGTAGTCCCATCTATTCTGGAGGCTGAGGCAGCAGAATCGCTTGAACCCGGGAGGCGGAGCTTGTGGCAAGCCAAGACCGCGCCACTGCACTCCAGCCTGGTTACAGAGAAAGACTCCGTCTCAAATAAATAAATAAATAACAGATATTTTCTTATATTACAAGTGTTACCTATATCTTGAAATATTGTTTATTTTCTTTACTACTTCAAAATTATGGTAACTGATCCACTGCTAGATCTTGTTATTTAATAACCTTGTTATTAAATAATGCGTTAGTTTTTTAAAGACATATATATTACTATAGCATAAATTCTTTTAACGTTTTAACAAGTGTTTTGCAATTGGTTTCCTTTATAATACTCCTCCTTTTGTTTTATATCTTTAAAAAAGCATTGTTCTGGTCCGGCCTAGTGGCTCACTCGGGTAATCCCAGCATTTTGGGAGGCCAAAGTGTGCGGATCACTTGAGGCCAGGAGTTCGAGACCAGCTGGACAACACGATGAAACCCTCCTCTACTAAAAATATCAAAATTAGCCAGGTTTGCTGGCCTGGGCCTGTAGTCCCAGCTACTCAGGAGGCTGAGGCAGGAGAATCGCTTGAACCAGGGAGATGGAGGTTGCAGTGAGCCAAGATCGCGCCACTGCACTCCAGCCTAGGCGACAGAGCAAGACTCTGTCTCAAAAAAAAAGTATTATTCTGAGAAAGAGTCTTTAACCTTCCCAGAAATGCCAAAGGGGTACACAGCACAAAAATGGACCAGAGCCCTGCATTATAGCAACGGGCAGCCCAGGCAAAGCCAGGGGCTCTGCACAGTGTCTTTGAGCAAAAAGCCAGGTTAGAATTACCATAAATAAAAGAGACAGATGAAGAGGAAAGGAAATGAGCCCAGATTCCACCAGAAGACCCTTTCTCCCTTTCCGCCAATTCCTGTTCAGCAGGTGCCCTAAATCCTCTCCCCTTCAGGTTTCAGCTGCAGCCGACCCCTCGAGCGCCCCTCTGTCCCACGCGCAGTGTCGGTGGATGACTGTCAGTCCCTGGTCCCCGGATGCCGAGCACTCAGCCCCGCTCAGGGACGGTGCCGAGTGACAATTAACAGGTGGAAGGCGCCAGAAATGTCCACACAACAAGACCACGGATACTTCGGTTTTTAAGAACCCCTCTCGGCTTGGCCTCTCCGCGGCCCTGAGGCTCTCACACTCCGAGAAGGAAGCGAGTCCCAAGACCCGGGTTCTGGACAAGGGCAGCAAGAGCTGCGGGTGTCCGGAGTTGAGGAAGCAAAGTTTGGGGCGCGGCGCACCGGGTCTGCTGAGCCCCAGCTGCGGAAACCGAGTTAAGCCAACAAACAGCCTCAGTGGTAGGCACTGTCCCTCCCCAGTCTCCCTCCACTGGCCCAGGGCCAGAGATCGGCCGCCGATGCCTCTTACCCAGGCGTGAGCGGAGCCTTCGGTCACTGCGTTGGCGCAGCAAAAACCGCCGCTCCCTTCTGGGTCTCAAGGCCTGTACCCGGGCCCCGCCCGCCCGCCCTCCAGGCGGAGGCTGGAGGCGGGGAAAGAGAGGCTCCCCCAGGAAAGGTCCCGAAAGGTCCCGCCGTGCCCCGCCTGGCGCCGCAGCCCTGGCACCATGGTCAGTGCACACATCAGGGCTTTGAGCGCTCACGGGGCACAGAACCAGGAACAAGCGTCCATCTGGCCTGGGGCGCTGCTGGCTGTGCAGACTCGCCCCTTGCGCGCCCTGAAGGGCGGCCCTGCAGGCTCGGGCGCACAGGCGAGGACACCGAGGCCACCTGACGCTTCCGCCCCCTGGGTGCCAACAGCGTTTTGTAATCAGGGCAGGCAAAAGCGCAGGCGGGGCGCTGTGCAGAGAGGCCCTGGCTGTTCCCACTGGGTCCTCCTATGTGCCCTGGGCTTCTCACCAGGTTCCCACAGCTGCCCAGAAACACAGGTATTCCCTCGCTCATTCCACAGAGAAGGTGACCGAGGTTCAGCTTTGGTATGCGCTGGAGCCCTTCCCTCAAAACGCGCAGGCAGGGGTAAGCTGGCTTCCAGCCACTGGCCTCCACAGTGTCCCGTCCCATATTCATGACTGGACATTTTCAATTGGTGGCTCTTTCCAGGTGGATGTAAAGTGTCAGTGAGTGGTTCTCCCCCATACCAGATTCAGTAACCCTTTTTACAATAAATACAGGGTGTCCCAAAAGTCTCGTAACCTAAGAAGTGCAAGTGCTAGAAGCGTTCAAAAAAACAACCCTTGAAAGTTTGAGTTTCTTTTAGGCTTACTTGGTTTTATGAATTTTGAATAAAATATATATATATATATATATATATATATATTTTTTTTTTTTTTTTTTTGAAACAGAGTCTCACTGTGTGGCCCAGGCTGGAGTGCAGTGAGCAGAGCAATCTCGGCTCACTGCAACCTCTGCCTCATGGGTTCAACCAACTCTCGTGCCTCAGCCTCCCGAGTAGCTGGGACTACAGGTGTGCGCCACCATGCCCGGCTAATTTTTGTATGTTTCAGTAGAGATGAGATTTCACCATCTTGGCCGAGCTGGTCTCAAACTCCTGGCCTCAAGCGATCTGCCCTCCTGGGCCTCCCAAAGTGCTGGGATTACAGGCGTGAACCACCATGCCTGGCTTGAATTATTTTTAAAAATGTTTTCAACTGATGCTTTCTATCTTTAATCAAAGGAACTGACTGTGTCTAGGCAAAATCATCATGAACAATATAATACAAACACAGACTGTAGACTTTTATTGGTAACTCAATTCCATCTGCAGCATTGCTTCTGTGACATGATTTCCTTTTTTTTTTTTTTTTTTTTTTTTTTTTTTTTTTTTTTGAGACGAAGTCTCACTCCCTTGTTCAGGCTGGAGTGCAGTGGCATGATCTCAGCTCACTGCAACCTCCGCCTCCCAGATTCAAGTGATTCTCCTGCCTCAGCCTCCCGAGTAGCTGGGACTACAGGCATCCACCACTACCCATGGCTAATTTTTGTATTTTTAATAGAGACAGGGTTTCATCATGTTGGCCAGGCTAGTCTTGAACTCCTGACCAAGTGATCCACCCACCTTGGTCTCCTAAAGTGCTGGGATCACAGGTGTGAGCCATCACACCCAGCCAACATGATTTTTTGAAATGGCAAATAACTCTGGTAAAGAAGCTCTGAACAAAACGAAGTATACTCTTTCCTTCCTTTATTCCAATGTAACCATTCCTGGAAATTTTAGTATATTAAAGCCATGCAAAATACCTAATGTTTATAATTATCTGAACTAGAACCTAAATAACTTTACCAAAAAAAAATTGATTTTGCGGCCGGGCGCGGTGGCTCACGCCTGTAATCCCAGCACTTTGGGAGGCCGAGGCGGGCGGATCACAAGGTCAGGAGATCGAGACCACGGTGAAACCCCGTCTCTACTAAAAATTACAAAAAAATTAGCCGGGCGCGGTTGTGGGCGCCTGTAGTCCCAGCTACTCGGGAGGCTGAGGCAGGAGAATGGCGTGAACCCGGGAGGCGGAGCTTGCAGTGAGCCGAGATCGCGCCACTGCACTCCAGCCTGGGCTGGGTGACAGAGCGAGACTCCGTCTCAAAAAAAAAAAAAAAAAAAAAAAAAAAATTGATTTTGCATACTTGAATGTTGGCACAAGGCACAGGATACCAGAAATTGTGCAGGACTCTGGACAGTTAACTGGGTTTTTGGTATTTTTGTTTTTTTGGGTTTTTTTTCATTGAGACAGGGTCTTACTCTGCTACCCAGATTTGAGTGCAATGGTGCAATAACAGCTTACTGCAGCCTTGACCTCTGGAGCTCAAACAGTCCTCCCACCTCAGCCTCCCAAGTAACTGAGACCACAGGCATGTGCCACCATGCCCAACTAATTTTTTTCTGAATTTATTTATATTTTGTAGAGATGGGGGCCTCACTATATTGCCCAGGCTGGTCTTGAACTCCTGGGCTCAAGCCATCCTCCTGCCTCAGCCTCTCAAGATGCTAGGATTAGAGGAGTGGGCCACCATGTCCGGCCAGGACAGTTCATTGTTACATGGCACTGTTCACATAGCACGGGAGGTTGGCTTCCTTGGTTCCCGCTCTCTAAATGCCAATAGACTCTGTCCCAAATTTATGACAAATAAAAAGTCCCTCCCATATTTCCAAAATGCTTCACCCCACGTCCCAGTCCCATCACCCTCCACATCCAAGCCAAGAAGCCCTGGTTTAAATGGGAAGGATGCAGGCAGGAAGGAGTCACAGGGGATGTGCTGCCTGCTGGGTGGTTTGAGACTAATGGCTGCGGAATCAGATTCAGAGTTAAGAAACATGTCCTGGGCCGAGTGCGGTGGCTCATGCTTGTAATCCTAGCACTTTGGGAGGCTGTGGCGGGCGGATCACGAGGTCAGGAGCTCGAGACCAGCCTAGCCAGCATGGTGAAACTCTGTCTCTACTAAAAATACAAAAAATTAGCTGGGCATTGTGGCACGTGCCTGTAGTCCCAGCTACTCAGGAGGCTGAGGCAGGAGAATTGCTTGAACCCGGCAGGCGAAGGTTGCAGTGAGCCAAGATCGTGCCACTGCACTCTAGCCTGGGTAACAGACTGAGATTCCATTAAAAAAGAAAGGAAGGGAGGGAGGGAGGGAGGGAGGGAAGGAGGGAGAGAGGGAGGGAGGGAAGGAGGGAGGGAAGGAAGGGGAGGAAGAGAGGGAGGGAGATGTCCTGACCATATCCCACATGCTGAGAGCCTCCAGTGTATTTGTTCTACTATCTCACTCAACAACCCTCCTTCCAGTGCAAAAGAGAACACTTCAAAGGAGAACAGAAGTTGTAACTTGCCCATCAGACAAGGAAGGGGACTGAGAGTTGACTCACTCACTCTTGCAGTCATTCTTTCATCTGATGGATATTCTCTGAGTCCTCGCCTTCTGTGTCCAACTAGCCCTGTGCCTGCTGTCTAGGCATACACTGTTGAAAAAAATCAGACTTGATTCCTACCCATGTGAAGTTTGCAGAGGAATGAAAGTGCACTTGGGGATATGGGAAACTGAAAGAAGAATCATTAAAGGGTGGGAAGTGATAGGAGGAGCTAGCACTAAGAGGAACACACCCCAATTCAAGAACATCCGGGAGAAGGAACACAAATCCAAACCAGGGCTCTGGGAAGATCTGCAGGCACATGGGCAGAAAGGGCTGGCAACAGGAACGGGTGGAAATAGCGAACGGAACAGTGAAAGGGATCCTTATCACAAGAAAGGGAAGGCTCAGGAGGAAGATCAGAGCAAAGAGGCTGATCCTCCTGTACTGTCCTTCCTGCCTGATCAGCAAGCCCCACCCTCATCCCTTCCCTGCAGCAAACACTTCCTGGGTGAGTAGCTAGAGAAACAGCTCATACCCTAGCCTCCCCAGCAAACCCTCCCTAGCTGGGACAGTAACCTAGCCAAGGCTTCACAGCTGCAATGAGACTTGTGGGAGAGCTGAGAATGAGTTCCTGCTATGCATCAGGGAGCAAGCATCACATGGTGTTTCATCCCGCCAAACCATAAGGCAGCCTCAGAACCAGATAGGCAGATGAACAGGGTGTGTTAGTTTGTTTTCACACTGCTGATAAAGACATACCCAAGACTGGGAAGAAAAAGAGGTTTAATTGGACTTATAGTTCCACGTGGCTGGGGAGGCCTCAGAATCATGGAGGGAGGCAAAAGGTACTTCTTACATGGTGGCAGCAAGAGAAAATGAGGAAGAAGCAAAAGCAGAAACCCCTGATAAACCCATCAGATCTCATGAGACTAACTCACTATCATGAGAATAGCATGGGAGAGACCAGCACCCATGATTCAATTATCTCACCCTGAGTCCCTCCCATAACACGTGGGAATTCTGGGAGCTACAATTCAAGTTAATATTTGGATGTGGACACAGCCAAACCATATTACAGCATAATACTTGTGTTTTATGCCTTGCTTTTAACAGACATCCCCAACACCTCCCAAACATGCTGTTTTCCTCACAGCTAATCTGCTTATCAAATAATAACCAAAACTGCCATGGAGTTTCCTCATCTGTGTCATTGAAGGTCAAGTTATTGTTGTTGTTGTTGTTGTTGTTGTTGTTTTCAGACAAGAAGCACTAATGTGTATGGAGGTTCTATCTCAATCAGCATTCTCGGTTGCAAGAAAGAAACCAGCTCTGGATGCTTTAAGTAGAAAAGGGACATTAGGCTGGGCACGGTGGCTCACGCCTGTAATCCCAGCACTTTGGGAGGCCGAGGCGGGTGGATCACGAGGTCAGGAGATCAAAACCAGCCTGGCCAAGATGGTGAAACTCTGTCTCCACTAAAAATACAAAAATTAGCCAGGCGTGGTAGCAGGTGCCTATAATCCCAGCTGCTCGGGAGGCTGAGGCAGAGAATTGCTTGCACCCTGAGGTGGAGTTTGCGGTGAGCCGAAATCACGCCACTGCACTCCAGACTGGGCGACAGAGCGAGACTCCGTCTCAAAAAAAAAGGAAAAATGGGGGGACATTAAAAGGCTCTCAAGGATTCACAGAACCATCAAAATGATGGGTAATGATGGGAGGAGAAGTACACAGGAATGAGGACAGCTCTGGAGAATCAAAAAGCAGAAAGTACACCTTGTTTTAGCAGAAACAGCCCGGCTACCCACAGGATGCTCCCACGTCATCACAAATTACTCTAGAATGATTGACACAAATATAAAGAGAGTGAAAGTGAAAGTTCTCAGTGGGAGTTTCCAGTTGACCAACTGTATGTCAAAGGCCAGCATTGTAGCTGTCAGAGCAGGGAGAGAATGTACTTGGCCCTCTTACTTCTGCCAGAACTATTATGATGGGTATTCCTTCAAAAAATGGAAAGGGAGATTGAATACTGGCAGCAGCGGATTGGGGGAGAAAGCTGTCTACTATAGGCTCCACAAATATAAGATCTTCTTATCATATACTGTTTTCTACATATATAAACAAAGTGGTATAATAGTGAAAATTGGCCGGGCACAGTGGCTCATGCCTGTAATCCCAGCACTTTGGGAGGCCAAGGTAGGCAGATCACTTGAGGCCAGGAGTTCAAGACCAGCCTGAGCAACATGATGAAACCCCACTCTACTAAAAATACAAAAAAAGAAAAAGAAAGAAAGAAAAAATTGCCAGGTGTGCTGGCACATGCCTGTAATCCCAGCTACTCAGGAGGCTGAGACATGAGAATCGCTTGAGTCTGGGAGGCACAGGTTGCAGTAAGCCGAGATCATGCCACTGCACTCCAGCCTGGGCAACAGAGCTAGACCTTGTCTCAAGAATAATAATAATAATACTCAGTCCTAGTGCCACAAAAGGTTCTGCTAAATACATGTATTATTAGAGTACTGGAGAGCAGGGAGGGGTGTGGTTCAGGCAAGCTTAGACTCCACCCAGAAAGGTCTCCTAGGACATAAGAAAAGTACTGGATCTAAAATCAAGTCTTTCTCAGAAATCTAGTCTCAAATTGGGTTTGGGGCAATTCTTTACACCTAAATTTTGTCGTTGTTAAAATGGAGATAAGGCCATCATCATGGTTGCTCTTGTGCTACAACAGCTGAGCTGAGCGGTTGCCACAAAAAGCATATGACTTGCAAAGTCTGAAATATTTAGCCCTTTACCTGAACAGTTTGTTGACCCTGTCATAGATGCTAAAAGCATCCTTGTTGACTGTCTGCCTATTTTGCTTCTAAGTTCAAAATAGACACTATGCTCCATTAACCATTTCCACAACCCCCTGCTGGTAAAGCCCAGTGATTGCCCCTCAAACCCTACCTTTTGGTGGGTAAGGCAATTAAAGCCTCCTGGCTTCTGGCAGTTAAGTGCCACCTCCTGGCCCCATCATGCCCACAGATGCTGACAAGCTCAGATTGTAACCGCCACTCTTACCATCGTCCCAGCCTGCAGAACTTCTTAGCGATGTTGGTGCCCTTCTCATCAGTGCATTTTGATGGCTGGGAGAATGGTGTATCTTGTGTGCCTTCTCATGGGACATATTCTCTGGTAGGTCTTTTGGCCTTATATATTTTTGAATTTTAAAATAAATATAATATCTTATTACAAAACTAGAGATGGGGATTCACTGTGTTGCCCAGGCTGGTCTCGAACTCCTGATGAGCTCAGGCAGTCCACCAGTCGCAGACTCTCAAAGTGCTGGGATTACATGTGTAAGCCGCTGTGCCTGGCCCGGCCTTATATAATATAGCCCTTCGAACACGTCCACTTCCTTCAGCCTCTTTATTCTTATCTGTACTATCTGCCTGAGTGAAGAAGAAAAGGAGGGTTGGGGAAAAGCATTAAACTACCAAGCAGAGCTTCAGGAAAGCTAATACAGAGTCCTTCAACCAAAGTCAGAGAAGCCCCATGTCTTCCAGGAATGGGCCTGTCTTAGTATCCCTGCCAGCCTTAACTATTTGCTCGGAGTGGCCTGTGTAGGAAGCATGCCTGGGTGCAAATGCAGGTAGGTCTCAGAGTACAGCACCGGAGCCCTTAGGCCATTTTGCTCCCTGTGGCTGGAGGTGTGTGAGGCACATTCTCCTGGCCACCATAGGAGCCCAGGATGGGTGTGACACAGCCTGATTTAAACACCAGTCTGCATCTTTAATAACAGGTCTGACTGGTAAAGTAGCACAAGCTGCTGCTCAGGATAGCACTGCTTTCAGGAGTGTCTTTTGAGTCAGTAGAATAAGAGCGCTCCCAGGCAGACTGCATGGAGACAAAGTGATCTGTGTGTGCCTCACCTCCTCTCTCCCTGCTATTATACTTGTAATCCAAACAGGAAAGAAGTACTTGCCCTGACTCAGAGGCAGTCTGTTCCCTGTTCCTCCATTCTGAGAGGGTGAATTTACAGATCTTAGGATTCCTCACTTGAGGCCTAGGCTGTGAGGTGGTTAAAGGCCAAAAACAACCCACCTGCAATGAGTGCATTGTGCCTGGAAGCTGCAACTGCAGCAAGAGCCATTGATGTCGCAGTACGTAACGCCAGTAAGAGTCTTAGGGATCACCTCCTGTCTGTACATTTATCTCTAAGGGAAACGAACTTTCTCCAGTGATAAAAATTTGGCTTCTAGTACTAGCTATGCTCTTTCTTCAAAGCGATAACGGTGCAAAATAGATGGAGCTGAGTGGTAGGTTACAGACCCAGAAATGCAGGCCCAGGAAGGCAGCATCAAAGGTAGATTTCTGCAGATGGTGGTGGGGATGAAATGTTTCAAAATAGCCCCGCCTTAACGGGAATGTCCTAACCATCCCGGAGTTGTTAATTTCTCCTAGCAGCTTTGCCTTCCTTCTATCAGCAGCATTGTTATCTCAAGGAGACGCTCCTGCGCCAAATCTCACCCAGTTCCAGTCTCACTGTTGCTCATTTCTATCCCTAGAGGTGTGGAGTTTTAGTGGTTGTCTAGAATTAAAGCAACCTTGCAGGAAAATAACAGTTCTGTGTATCCTCACCACTAGGCTCTCTCGTAACAGAGAAACTCATGCCTCCTTCACTTTTGTTCTTCCAATATTATCAGACTGGATAAAGAAAAACAGCAGATAGATTGGTGCGGCCCCATAATTCCCCATTATGGATAGAGTTTTATCAAGATATTTAAAGTAAAACTCCTAAGGTCAATTTCTCTCTCTACTCCTAGGGTCTCCCACTTAAGAAAACTCACCTCTTTCCAGAAATCAAATCCCAGCCCCACCACTTATACCCGTGTGATCCTGGGCAGTTATCAGATGCAACGTGTCTCAGCTTTCTCATCTGTAAAATGGTAATAACAGTAGTTACCTCCTAAGGTTGCTGTTATGAGATAACATGTATAAAGCAACTGGAATACAATAGCTGCTCAACAGAGCTGGGGCTCTGAATTTTAGGTTTAAGAAGGAGCTGATGTAGATCTGGTATTAGGAATCCAGCCAAATATGAGAATAAGAAAAGAAATTGGACAAAATAAGGGAAACACCCAGCAACGAAATAAGGGAAACACTCAGGTGTGTGGCCGAGAGCAAGATTACATCTCCGTGCTGGTCATTGATATCTTCGTCCTTGAATTCCTGGATTAGCAGACATGGAAATATATAAACTGCTAAGTAGGATCCTTATTATTAAAGTCAATAATATACATTAAAACATTTTGAAAAATATAACTTACTAGAATAACCTAAAAGACAGTGATATGCTTATAGTTACAGTATGGTAAAAATGTTTGTGAAAATGTGGAAAACAAGAACCTTAGCCTAGGAATCAAATCCCATGGGAACCCAAGAAAAGTCTAGCGCTCAAGTCT